ACTGCTTCCATTGGATGCAGCCAGTGTTTTGGACACAGTAAATTTTTAGTCATAATTACTGGCAGAAACATTGACAACGGGACTACAAAAGGAATGATAACCACTCTTGATCTAATGGTTATAGTGTATGACGTTTTAAATCTTTACCTGGCATTAAAAACATCATTTTTAATATTAAAAAGAGTCAATGGTCTATTGACCGATTTCATACAATCAGTTTTTAATTTTATCAAGTCTCTGTGCAATTTCTTAAGGATAAGTATCATACTTCTTTCTTTTCCCTTTTTGTTTTTGCCTGTAAACGAATAAAAGGAATTTTGAGCACAAAATATGTAATACCAACACAAATATGGAATACTTAAACTCCTTGAATAGTTATTGGTTTCTTTATCCCACCAACAACACTCAAATGTAGGAAACACACTTAGTTGAAGTAGTTTTCACTGAGTGCCAGCATAGATAGTCGCCGGGCAGCAGGCTACACACTTGCACAGCAGGCTACAGTGAGGTCCAGATTCCTCATACATCCAAGTAACTACACAAGCGTCATCATTGGAAGCAATCACAACAAAAACTAACCATTACAACTTTTTCAATAATCTCACTGGCCGGGTTTCTTGTCTTCAAGGACTTTCTCTTTAAATCGCCATCTTGTTAGGGCGGGGTCCTTTGAGATCACGTGAGGAAATGATCCTAGGAAAATTGATTGAAAAATCGATTACAAAATCGATGTATTAATGAGGCGATGCGCTTCGCGCATCGCAAACAACTTTCTTTAATGTTTATAAATCTTTTTTATTTTTGTCGCACTTGGCCTTCCATAGTCCTGCACTGGATCAGAATACAGCAACATCCTGTAATTATGTGTCTCCTACTGGTTACCGAGTTCAAGTTGGTCATGCGAATCTTGGTATTTCTGGTTCCAAGAAGACTGTTTTTGAGCACAGGTTTGTCATATATCGTGGGTTTACGTAAGAGTTTGGAGGATCTTACAATACTCAGGTACTTGACATTGCTGATCCGCAGTATAAGTATCTTAATGGAAGGTCACTCAATTCAAATGGCATAACAAATGCTGGCTTTAGCACCTGCTCTTATTCCCAGGCTCAAATGTTTGTTACTGCTTGGACCAGAAAGTACAATGTTATCTTTAACAATTGCCAACATTTTGCTGATGCAATGGTTCGATATCTTCAGGGAGGTTGTGGCCAGTCTTCTCTTCCAAGACAGAATACTAACAATACTAACAATACAGAAGTCATATTGAATGAAATTAACGGGATACTGTCCAACTGTTCGCTTGTTTGCTGCAGCTCTTCAGCAGCTGGTACCGGCCCCTCACCTTCAGTTTATTTTGCTGGACTTGTTGC